TTCACCAAGAATAATCCTATATGATCTCGTATAACGATGACATAGTTTTATGGTTAATGGATTACAATTAACAATCATCGCCGTCGTCATGTACTAATCTTTGGTATAAAACTATTAAAATTTTCTCGAAAATAAATATTCTGATCTACGCGGAGCAGATTTTTTTCCGTTAATTTTATATTGACAAATTGTAAAATATTGTGACACGCTAAAGCAGCGGTTCCCAAACTATGCACCGTGGTCTACGATTCATAACAAATAGTTTAAAATGTATAAAATTGTTTTTCCTTATTGTTTTCGTAAAAACTTTATAGCAAATAATATAATATTTTCTATTGTATATTCGGATACTCTCATTTTAACCTTATAATATTTTTATATAATAATTATAATCATAATAACAATAATTTTTATTTGTTTATTTTTAAGTTTAAAAATGCATTAATTTATACTAGAGTTAAATTTTAATAAAATTAATAAAATTGATTATCAATAAGTTTTTTTTTTTTTTTTTTAGTTCTGTCTAAAATGTTATTCACAGTTGGGCACCGTGGCTAAATTGGGTTCAAAAAAAGGCACCGTGGAAATAAAAGTTTGGGAGCCGCTGCGCTAAATGGTCTCAACTAGAGGTCGTGGTTGTGAACGAGTAACGGTAACCTAACACGGGTACACGGAGCCCGGGCACACGGGCAAAAAACATATTAAAGCCCGTGTATTTAATACCCGTGCATATCCATATATAATACCCGTGTATATCCGTATATTTAATACCCGTTCATACCAGTGTATTTATTTATTATTATCCGTGTATATTACATATTATTGAAGAATTCATATGCACTTTAAAAATTTACATTTATAATAATAATATAATGTAATGTTTATTGTGTATATAATGTAATATTCCAATAATTTTTTATTTATTAATAATAACAATTGTATAGCCCTCAATTACTTACCTACCTATTATTATTTAAAGATGTTATGAATAGATATAAGTTACATTTAAAAATTAGTTATATGCATTCGTTTATCGTATAATTGTATATAGGTATAAACATAAAGTATAAGTATAATAATACTTAAACTGGTTTTAAGATTAAAGAATTAACAATCTTAAAGCTATCTTATCGCCAATATTATTGCATTGCGTTTACGTATGTGTGCCTTGTATCTAAACATTTTTGGTGATTTTAAAGTTGTTCCATACTTTATAGTGTCTGTGTTCACTATTGGTACGTAAAATGTAGTATTAATATTTGTATTATATATATTAAAAATTTATCTTTGAAAAATGAGTTACCGTTCTAAAAGTTGGGTATGGCAATACAGCAAACGCCAAGGCAATAAAGCTTTTTGTGACTTATGTGAAGATAATTCAAACAAAGTGTTTTGTTGTGCTGGTGGATCAACGGGATCATTTGGAAGACATTTAAAACTCATTCACAATATAAGCAGAAACTCTCAAAATCCAACGTAAGTACTTAATTCATTTATAATAATTCAAATAAAAAATGGACTGGATTAAAAATTAGAAAAGCTAATTAATAATAAAAGAATACCTAATACCTAACCTTACATAACGATGAAATGAATTGTTTAAGAAAATATATATGATACAAACTTATAGCATATTAACTCTTGGTACATCATACAATAAAATAATAAAATTCCTATTAAAACATGTTCTCTTATTTTCTGTTACATTTTTGGGCGCTGAAACGATACCTAGGTAGAATAGTTCAATTTATTTTTGTTGTTTTTATTCTTTAAAAGCTAATTTTATTTGAACAAATATTTGAATTGTTGCCGCGTTATAGTGAATTCACACTTTGTATACACGATGTAGCAGATTCAATTCTACCTTATGCAAGTAAACATTTTGCTTTATTTCCTTTTATGACTATATATTTTTTAATACTTGGTTATATAAACACATATGACGTAATATAGTTTATATTTTTTCACATCGTACACATTGGACCTGTCCTAATAATAATTACAATTACGTTAACAATAATAAAAATAATATATATTACACGCTAAACATAATGTAATAATTTTATTATCCAACTTTTATTCCTATAAAATTGATTCAAGTAATTGTAATTAATGTCATACTTTAATTTTTTTCTTAGTGATGATAATTGTCATGAAGATGAAGAGTGTAATACAGTTGTTAATTTAACACAGTGTTCATCTTCAAATAATTTAAATACTGAATGTTCATCCTCATCATCGGAATTTCGTGAACCACAACCCCGAAAACGGCGTAGAACTTATATTAATAAGAACTTTGAAAGAAATCAAATTTGTACTTCTGAAAGAACAGAAGAAATCCATCAGGCGTTAGCTAAAATGATCGCCATGAACCAAATGCCCTTATCATTTTGTTCTAGTTCCGGATTTAAACAATTTGTGAATATAGTTGAACCAAATTATATAATTTGTAAGGAAGGTGCTATCAAACAGAGACTCAAAGGATTCAAATCGTCGGTTGAAGATTCAATAAAAAAGAATTAAAAGACGCCAGGAGTGTAAGTTGCACATGTAACTGTTGGTCATCGATAGTTCAAGAATCGTATATAACAGTTACTGCACATTTTATTGATGACCAATGGTGCCTAAAATCATACACCCTGACCACTCACAAATTAGACGATCGTCATACAGCTTCAAATCTTTCGAATCAACTGGAAATTACTTTTAATAAATGGGAAGTCGACCAAAAAATTATGTCAGTAGTTACTGATAATGCAAAAAATCTGTTGAATGCAGTTAATATACTGGATAATATCACAGAAAAGAACGATCTAACATGTGCCGCACATACTTTACAACTGGCTGTCAAAAATGCCCTAAAATATGATAAAATAGAAAATTTAATTGAAATATGTAGTAAAATAGTTTGTCATTTTAAGCATTCAAATTTAGCAAGTCAATATTTAAAAGATAAGCAAGAACAACTAGGTTTACCAACAGAAAACTTGATACAAAGCTGTAAAACACGATAGAATTCTATATTTATGATGCTTGAGCTCCTTTATAAAAATAGGTGCTCAATTTCAAATGTAATTGCTGATCGTTCGATGACTACAACAGCGATTGCACATAAATTTGAAGTGACGGAGCACCAATGGACAGATACTGAAACGTTAATACAATTGCTTAAACCTCTACAAATTATGACTACTATTTTTTGTGGAGAAAAATATTATTCTAGTTCAATGGTTAGACCTCTTCTAAATGCAGGAATACAAAAGCATTTAAAGCATAATATAAGTGATGATGAAATAGCTGAACATTTTAAAACCACTGTAATAAAGGAACTTTCAGATCGTTTCAAATTACTGTGGTGTCCTTCTAGTGTCGTGTCTGCTAGGTAAATAGCGTCTTTTCTAGACCCAAGGTTCAAAGACTTAGAGCATGAAACAGTTGAAGCAAGAGAGAAAATTCGAACACGGGTTAAACATTTGATAAACGAAATGGCTGAAATTAATCGCGATATGCAAATTGAAACATCTGTAACTAAACATAACGATGCTCTTGAATTTTTGTTTGGCGATGAAGTAAACTGTGATACATCTGATTTTGACATTCAGTATCAACATTACTTGGCAGAACCACAGTTAAAATTTGATTTTGATGCACTAGAATGATGAAAGACACGTGCATCAAAATACCCATTAATTGTTGCTTTGGCAAAGAAATATTTAGGTATACCAGCAACGTCAGTAAGTTCGGAAAGATGTTTCTCAACCGATGGAAACATAGTGACAGCCAAGAGAAATTGTTTGTCGCCCGAGACGGTAAACATGCTGATTTTTCTTTACCAAAACAAACAATTATTATAACTTCCAAGATCGTGAGTGATTGCTTTTGTATTTTTTGCACTATATTATGCGTTATTACATATTACATACTGCTTGTTAATTAATTTAATATTATTATTATTATTTTGTATTTATTTTATACTATATTATTATTGTTATCACCATTAATGTTTGAATTATTTATACATATGTTTATTGTTATTTAATAATTAGGCAATACAACTTTTTTTTGGAAAAAAACAAAATTTAAAATATTGAGATAGTATAATGAATGAAATTACAAAAAACTAAATGAATTCTGTATTATTTGTTATGCCTACTTTTCATTTTAGCTCTCGGGTATTTAGATACATGAGAATTAATAAAACGGGTATTAAGATACACGGATATTTTTCCTGCACGGGTCTTAACCCCGTCTTGTTTAAAAACACGAGTACCCGTGTAGTTCATTACACGTGTAATCGAGACCTCTAGTCTCAACCTATTGCTCATGCACTACCAATAACCGTTTGCTAGTGTTTTTCCGGTACGTTTGGTTTTACCACGGAAAGCTTAAATGAGATTCAGAAATAATCACCCAACACTTAAAATGATTACCTTCTATCTTTTATAAACATAACTTTAGTTGAGCTTATTTTTATCTTTATCTAAATTGAATTTTAGTATACCATATTGGATTTTTTTCAGGGTAAAAAAGTATTTATCCTAAGGCTCAATAAAATCAGCCAATGAGATTGCCACACAACACACACACGATGACGGCGGGATAGCGCATACGTTAATTTTATTGAGTGTTTCATTTGAAGTTGATGGTGGTCAATAGCGGATATAGCGGGGATGAAGGAGGTGCAATGCACCAGGATCTCTAGTTCTAAGAGACATCTAAAACCAAAACTTGAAAATTTTCTGTTTCGTTATTTATTTTTTGCTTTTTTTAATTAACCTGCCTTCAATTAGTATTTTTTTTTTTTTAGTTAGTTATTACATCAATTTACATTGAATAAATGCATAAGTGTTATATCGAGCAAATTTTTTTCAGCGGTCCTCCCTCCGTTTGATAATCGCATCCCTTGGCCACCTAAGACATAGATCCGGCACTGATGGTGGCCACTACACGTATTGGTCATCATCATCAGACCGTCCGTATATAAGTGACTGTCGTTTTACCTGATGTGTGGTCGGTCGGCGACGGCGACGGCGGTGGTGGCGTCGGGCGGCAGCGTGGCCGAACGGTTCCGGAGAGAAATCGTCTCCCGACGGGCACGGGACCGTGCGCACTGCGGTTGTTCCGTCGTCAAAAACGATCGGCGACCGCGGTGCGAACAGCTGAATAGCAATCGGATGGGGAAAAATAATCGAAACAAAACAATCGAAATAATATAGCGTACGAAAAACTGTAATATATATATATATATATAAAATTATAATAAAATAATCTGAAAAAATTTAAATAAAACGTGCGAAACGGAATGGAAAACCCGACGGAAGCAAAACGAAAGCGAGTAACGGACGTCACGTCGACCGGTATCGTTGAGGATGGTCAGTGCGGAAACACGATTTCGGAAGCTGTACGAGGCGGCGACCAGTGCGCGCGACGAAGTGTATAAGTACGGGATCCCTACTGAACTGCACCGCACTGCCGAACGGTGCCAGTGGCGGCGCGACCGGCACGTTACCCCCGCGGCCTCGGGTGACGGGGCGAAGCCGAAGTTAGGCGAGCGCACGCGACGGCGACGGCGTTTGCGACGAAATCGTAACAAATTTTATTACTGCGTCGGTGGCTGAACCGTCCCGCACGCGATACGCTTGCAAAAACCGTGTCCCTGTGTCGTAGTACCCGTACGCCGACACAGTACCGGTTGCCAGGGTGGGTCGAGCCCTTGGGTCTCACGGGTAAAGATCAGTTTTCAGTGACTCTCTTTGAACAAGAAAGGAGTATTGGTAAATGCTTCTGAGGTAACACGAGAAAATGCATGCGAAAACGGATAATTATCTACGCTTTGTTTTTGTTTTGACAAAACTACCAACGAAATAACACATGCGCATCCACGTGTACGGTTTGTATTTACGACCAGCAAGGCAGTAGTATCGTGAACTTCTGGACATAGACTATTGGTTCCCGGGCTGTTTTTCTACAGATCCTATTTGGTATATTGTCGGGAACACACGAAAGTGGTAACGTTATTTCAGTATTTTCACCTCCTCTCCGAAGTTCAGGAGGTCCGAAAACGCGGACGCCGATTAATTCGGAGAGATTGTTTTTTTTTTTAAGGGTCATCGTTTTAATACTCGACCGTGGATAAAACCAAACTTGACGGTCAACCCTTGGATAACATGGAAACCGGCTGTGATGGACGAAAATCGTTTATTCCCCGCATTATAACTATATCGTAATAAAGTTACGCTGCCGCACCGTTTACACTCGATTAGTCGGGAAACTCGGTCGAGACCGAATAATTTTTTAATTTTTTTATCGGATCGAAGCTCATCTGGTTTTGATAACTTATACATGTCATGTATGAACGTGCAGGAATCTCTAGTTTTAGATTGTTTATTTAATGCCACAACTACATAAATAAAAATTCGTTGTAAAACGTGATCTAAAAAAAAAAAATAATTGATTCACTTATATTAGTAAAAAACGATTTCCTTTACTCGTACACACGATATAAACGGTATTGACATTTATTATAAGTTTATTTTGCCGTTTTATATTGCACAACATAAATATTACATATTTTGATTGTATTGCTTGATTTTGGTACACAGTTATACCTCATTAAATTTTATCGTCCGAATATTTTATCACTACGTCCGTGTTGGTATTCATTATAAAATTTTAGAAAATATGCATCTTATTTTTTGATCATGTTAAATCGATAACTATTGATGATAAACTATTGATTACAATTATTAATAACAACTATTGATAGTAAAAGGTATTTGAATAAAATGTCGGTAATTATAAATACAAAACACAGATAATTTACCAAAAATATGTAGAATATAAAATATTCGAAAATCTTTAAAATACTGAGACCTGACATTTTGATCTAAAAAAGCATATAAATGTGATGCACGGTCTATTTCATCAATTCACTGTGAATACGTAAAAGAATAATTTTTCATTTGAAAAAATAAGACGAAGAAATGTTCTGTTTCACGTACAGTTAGTCACACATGAATTTGAAATAAAGCATAGTATAATGTGGATTTGAAATATTTTTATATAGAACTGAAAGAGTCCCCAATATTTTGGTCCTTTTTATACTTCGTCATATGGTTGAACTTGAAACCTAAGTGTACAGATAAATCATGAAAAGTTAATATAAGTTAATAAAATTATTTGATGGGAAACCTAGAGATGCTGGCTTACAATCGTTATCTACGTAATATTTTTGCACTAAAACGGGAATACCAACTGGTATAAATAAATTCGTTTAAATTGTTTTAATTAATTAACTAGCTCACGTTGGTAGAGCACGGAGCCGTGAGTGGGTTCAAGTCCTAAGTGAGCAGTCTCTTCATTGTATACGTACTTTATGTTAAATAATAATAAACCTAGCAAAATACGCATGGACATAATAACTTAGATTTAATAACAACTTAAAAAAAAGGCATAATGTACTTTTTGGTTACTTTTGTTAATTTACAGTTTATTTACACGTATACTATGACCAGTTACATGTGCGTGTTCTACCATTACTGTCTACAATTTCATAACGGTATCATTTTATCGAGTTGAAGCGATGACCTGTATCTTGATAACGTAGTGACGTCATAGGTAACATACTATAGGGATTGTAATAATTTTATTATTATTGTTGTTATTGTTACATCCAGCTATTGTGCGAAAGGTACGTGTTCGACATATCTTTATGAAATGAATACAATACGAACGCGCTCGTTCACCATCAATTTTTCCACTATAGTTTCTTGTGAACTGTGCAATTGAAATTTGTCTTTTCGTGCAGCCGTTCAAACAGACGCACTTCAAAAACCGTTTTCCACAGCCATTCCAATCGCTTTAAGACAACCGACGCGAGTTAATCGAAAACTATTCACTATCAATGCGAACACTCGAACAGCTCTTCGGGACGACGTGTAGCGTATACAGTATATATAATACACACAAACACACAGGTATTATACAAACATGGTACATAAGTATACGTTATCGTATTAACTACCAGATTGATTTGGTTAGGTACACATGAATGCACTATTAATCGATAAGACAGTAAAATTATTTAATTTATTTTCAATTACTTTTATTAACAATTCATTATGATTTCGCAGCAATAATAAAAGATAATTTATGATATACATTTAAATGTATGGATTCTCGAATATTTTATCGCACTGCATAACATTGCACAATCTGTTATAATATTATAATTGAATACGTTCAGTCAAAAATATAAATAATCATTTATAACCCATATTAGTTAACTACAAAACTACAAATACAACAACTAGTACAGAAAGTATCCGATTGTACATCAGCAACCAGGGTGAACCATTTTATTAGGATGCAATAATTTTTATGCGATAACATTATACATCCGATTTTTGTTTAAATAACAAAAAAAATATATATTATACAGAAAATATGGTAATATTTTTTCAGCACGCGATCCGCCATTCGATTACGTGAAGTCAATTTTAAACGGCTGAAAAAAAAATACCAAAAACAATACCTAAGTGTATATAATATTTACTTTTGAAACCATGATGATCATCCCTGGTGTGAATATTATTAAACACGAAATAAAACTAGGTCAGTATCTATATATATATAGTGTGCGTCATCGACAAAATTATTAGCAGAGACATTTCCTGCTAACAAGATAAACCAGACAAAATGTTATACATAAATATACGTGCACCATGAACAGTAATAATATATGCAACTGTATTTGTGCATCACTATTAGCAGTGTTGGGAATTATCTAGATAATATTATTCATTTAATTACCTTATCTTATTTAGATAAATTTACTGGTTATCTATTTCAAATTATCTAAATAAATATATTATAATTAAATTAATAATTTGAAAATGTTTAAATATTGATATACGTAGGCAATAATATACTAGTACTAATGTTTTTATTATTTTTATTAAAAAAGTATTTAAACATTTATAATCTTAATTTTTATTTTTAGGTTTTACATTAAAAATATTAAAATAATAATATTAATACATTAGTATATTATACAAGTCTGGTTTCTGGTTTTTTCTGGTCAAATTTTTCTTTAATTCGGGCTCAAAATTTACAAGTCAATTTTCGGTAATATTTAAATTGGGTGAATCTTTAATATTTGTGGTTTTTTTTAATCAAATGTCGGATCCATTTGGAATCGATTTTTAAGTAATTTTTTTTAACACCTCTCTGTGTTTTGAAAGTTACGCTCATGTTTTATTTTATTTTTCAGTATGGACCTGACAAAAAATCCAATTCAGTATTCACAGCTGCGTGTAATTTGATTTCATCATAAAATGATCCACATTAAAAAAATCTGAAATATGTATCCCATATATAATCGATTCATTAAATATGGATCAGGAGGGGGGGCTGTCACCCCCTTTGCCCCGCCACCCTAAAATTCATCTCTGTCTGAGTACTGAGTAATAATTATTTGATTCAATTGTGAGAATTTGTTACTGAGTACCAAGTGATTAGTGTAAAGGTAAGAAAAGAATACACAAGGAGGTGAACACCACTGAAGATATTATTGAAAGTATAGATACTAATGATTATGTCACTGGATCGTCTATATCAAGTGAAAGTGAAATATAATCTTATAAAATACAAAATTACTTGCTAGAGGGCAAATATTATAAAATTCTATTTGTCGAAGAAACAAAAATATCTGCTGCTAATCAATTGTGCTCGAAGAAATTATTTTTTATTCTAATTCTACTAGAAATCTATTAAGTCACTATCAAGTATTATTTGTAATACAGTTAGATCAATATTTAGATAGATACATAATTTATTCCTTGAAAAAGTACCTACTACCATTGATTATAGAATAGACTATTCTATAATCATTACTACTACATTTAGCTACTCACATTTATTTTTTAAAGCATATTTTAAATTTCCCAAATTTGAAGAAATAAGTATAAAAATAATATAAGACAATTTCCTCTAATTCTTTTCTAATATAAAAAATAATAATAATTCTTATCTACATTTGAAACAATACTGTTAATGCATATTTAAGAAATATATTTTCCTTGTAAAGAAAAGTTGTTTGACTTTATTCACGGTGGTTATTCATTGAAACTCTGAAATTAAATTTTTACTTTTTCCTATCATTTATATTAATTTTGTTCTTAAAATAAAAACAATTATTATGTTAGTCAATTCTAGAACTCATGAACTATATCTAACAATTTTAAAACCAGTTTAGGTTAAACCTAATTATTACCAACTTACTCGCTAACATTTCAATATTAGTTAAACATCAAAATGCAATAATTGCAAATAAAAATATGGAATATAGAATATACTCGTAATATATTTATCAGGCATTACTTTAATAAGTTAATTTTTAAATGCTTAGATTAATCTTAAACTTAATAATATAATAATAATGGAGCTGGA